AAAATTTCATAAAACGGTCAGAACAGAAACCTAACTAATAGGTATTATATAAAATATCAAGTAATTTTCAAGGCTTTTATAGAAGAAAATCTTATATTTATATGCACACATGTTCGTAACACATGTATACACAATGTAAATAAATGAAATGAAACTCGTATTCAAATGAAGCAAAAAAAATATCTGCTATAAATCACAGTGAAATTTATGTTAATTGCATACAGTAAAAGTTATTAACAATATTAAGTAGCATTATCGAACTGTTATACAAGTTATATCGTGTGTTACGTTTAATGTTAAGTAATTTACCGCATTTGGGAGTTGCGAGTTGCGACGTTAGAGTATTTCCTTTATTCAATCATTGCGCAGGCGATTTAATTTTGAAAACTTATTCTATTTGAGTATTTGTTAAATTGTATGAACTGTTAATAATAAAAGTTTAACAATAAAATACAGCAATTTAAGAAAGCAAATTCTATGAGTAAATATTTAGGGAATCAAGGAATTTTAAGGAAACTACTAAATACTAATTTTAATTTAATTCTGTAAAGATATACCTTTGATGGTTTCAGTCTTGAGATAATTTAAAAGGTAGGTTTGAAGGATCAGTTCCGATAAGTTTTTCGTAACTTTCCTTCTTCAACATGTTAATGGGGTGTAAAGAAAAGCGGGGAAAGTCGAGTTGACAATCAATGACATTATAATCTTCATTAACCACAGCTTGCGGTTATGCGCGTGCGACTAATGTGAAACTTTTGACATCTAGAAAGTTTTAATGAAATACTATGTAAGTATATCTTCTGAAAAATATGTGATATATTTTCTTATACGTATATGATTTATTTATCGTTCGAAATGATCATGGTGAATTAGAGTAAATTATGGAATTCATATTCGTAAATTCGTTATTAAAGTAATATCAAATAAACGTAAAACTGAACAATTTGTTAAAGGTATTGTAATACCCAAGAATATGGCTGCATACATTTAATTTCTTTTGAGCGACACCTAGCGGTAAATAATGAAATCAATTAAAGCATACATTCAACACTTCGCAGTAGAAGTTAGTTTCCTCTACAAACGCTAGAGGGCGTGCATACTAAAACTATGAACTTCTAAAAAAATGATATATACTTTGATAACTAAGTAATGTACTTTAATTGTCAGTTATTAAACTTAAATAACAATAGAATCCACCACTGAATGCCGATAGACGCGGCGCTGCGGCGTAGTAATATGTTGCTAGTGCTAGGCGTAATTTACCCCAACGTAACATAAATTAATACCTATAAAATTTGCGAACTAGTCTGCACTGTTTTACATTAAATCGAATAAAATAATATTTCACTGTCTTTAACTATTATAAAAGACAATGTCTGTACAAACATATCGGTGACAATGATTAAGTATAAAATTTTGCAAGCTCATATTTTCGGACATTTTTCTTTATTTATATTTCATATTTCTTTTATGAATTCATAGATAAAAGCTAAGATTTATAAAACACATTTAATGTAGTTTTCATCAATGCTTGATACCAGATCTTTTTACAATAAGTATGGTCATCATGATTTGGTTCCATAACATCGCAATCGCTATCATTTGTATCTTGAATTTCACCATCAGGATCAGTGTCGCAATCACTCGCTGTTGTTATTTTGTATCTCTCTATTTCCACATCAATTAGTCCATCGTTTTTTAAGGTTTCATATTCTATATTCACCAGAGCCATAGCCCATAACAATCTATAAAAATAACTTGTTATTGTTGGCGCGAAATGCTAATGGCAGTTTATGTGCTTATGTTTTAAAAATTGTCTATAATAGCGTGGTATTAGAATCAAATCTTGGCTGGAAAACGGTGGATAAGCTTTCCGTAAATGAAAGGCAATTAAGACCGACATGTCGACTTAGGCCGTTTCTCCACTGCTCCGGTCCGGCAAACGTTAATTACCGATCCGATTAAGAAACTCACAACAGTACTTACCTACGTACTTCTCCACTATTTCGGCAACCGGTTTTTAACGATCCGATAACTTGCTAGATCAGAACGCGGTGTTTTATCGGTCCAAGTATATCCAAGTATCCAAGAGGTTATAAATTATTATTCACAGGTTTATTTATAGTTTCTTTAATTTGAAAGAATCTGGATAACCTGCACCAAACCAAATTATGTTGCTATTTATTTATATTTTTATAACATAGTATTAGTGAACTATTTATTAAGTAGATTATAATATTTTAAGGCAGACAATATAATAAAAAAGTAATAAACTTGCCAGGGCAATAAAATATTCAGAGTTTAGAACGTTTTATTAATAAAATAAAGTATATGGGTTTTAGTTAATATAAGTGTTGCATGATAAATATACAAGTATCGATTATTGTCGGATCAGATATAGTGGAGAAGCGCAATCCGGCCTTACGATATTTTTTTAATGACTCATTCCGGCTTCCGACGCCGGAACGGAGCAGTGGAGAAAGGGCCTTACTCGAAATGTTCCTTCACAGTTCTAGCAAGTGTTCATTGCGAACATAGAAAGAACAAGCAATTGGTGATAATTTGAACGCACAAGCTCAGGTTTCAGACTTGCTAAGTCAACAATGTTAAAACTTTGTTTAATATTGTTAGGTAATTGAATAAAACACTATTACTGTCTAACACATTAATTTATTAATAAATGAACACAGTCCACATCTAAACATGATATTTACACTGTCAACATGATATATTAATACATTTTAACTCGCCCGGAGCTTATAATTTTATTATTACACATCTATACATCGATTACATCTTACATATACATGTCATACATATTTTTCGAAATGGTTTAATTATCTCATAGATACAGTATTACATTGTTACACAGAAATGAAATGAATGTAATGGAAATTGTATGGTAAGTGGAGCTGACACGCCTCAGTATGGGCCTGTAGGGGCTCAGAAGATCATCTGGTGACAGATGTGTAGGATGAGTTGTGCTGAAGACAATTATTAATTGTCTTTGGTAGGTTTCATTTTTGGTATGTGATTGTTTCATTATTTTGTGGTTGCTTAATTTTAACAAATCATTTATTTTTTTATTTTATTAATATTGCTTATATATTTAGATTGTAATAGAACAATGTGACTTCAATGACATGTCGATATCAATTAAATATTACAATAATTTAAAACATACCATTTGTATAACAATAAAAAAGTTTTTATTCAAAATCTATTATACATATATTATATATATTGTATAAACAAAAAGTTTTATTTAATGTATGCAAAGCCTTGAAAAATCGCAGATTACATATATACATCATACATTACAAGTATATTTTTATTTGAATATCATAGAGTGAAGATAATAGACAAAATTATACCATAGATTAGGTACCATTATTAATTCCACACAATCCAAAGAGTACAGTTAAAATAAGAAAATATTGTCAAAAATCATAGATTTTAGGCTCTAAATGTGCAATTCAGAAACATGACTTAGCTGGAACTGTCTTCCATATGTCATCCAATACATGAACTGGAGTAGACTTAGTCTCATTTCTGAATTCACTATAGATTTACACTTAGCGTCTTATCAAATTCAATACATACGTTTCAATTGTTATGTTACTACAATAAATACTACAATATATGTTTAAGCCATACATAATATATAAAGTTATTGTATATCGTCACAGATTTTATTTTCATTATTTAGCACGCAACACAATTCTGTACGTCTTTTCTACTAGCGAAAAAACGAAAACCAGTTAAAGCTGAAGGGTACATATTTTAAAGCATTATTATTACGTTGTTATTTCAAAAGAGGTGTGTTTGGTTAGTTAGCTTATAAATTTATTAGCTCAATATTGAACCATGGTCGTCAATCGTACTAACAAATACATATCATAATTTCGACATATACCACATAGGGGTTTAATACATAATTCAAAGTAGACCCCCAATAGTAATTATCAGACCTTTAAAAAAACAGGGGACAAACGGGCAGGAGACTCACCTGATTTTAAGTGATGCGGCCTATGGACACTCCCAATGCCAGAGCGCTCGAGAGTGCGTTGCCGGCCTTTTAAGAATTGGTAGGTTCCTTTCATGAAGGACCCTAAGTCGAATTGGTTCGGAAATACTTCAATGAGAACTTACCCATAAGTTTCGAAGACTAATGAAGAACTAATGTGCTAATAACTAAACTAACGGCGCGAATACACTTCAATGAATTTTATTCTATAGTTGAGAAATTCACATATATCTTTAAGCAGTTAGAATTCTTACCCAACATCAACACACCTAATTGTTAGAACTACTAAAATAATACAAACTATTCCATTATATATTACAGAAACCCTAAAGCAAGCCTTAAAAAATTTCGTAGCAAAAATAGTCGTCCTGCAAATCCAGAGGTATGGAAGTACTAATTTCTTTACAGATATTTACGAATAAGCGAAAATTGCATTGAAAATATTTATATAATTTAAACTACAATCTACAGTTGTTTATAATAAGTGTGAAAGTTCTTAGATCAAACTGTATATTAGAAGTTTCACAATTACCAACATTTTATATTTGCATACACATTTACACGAACTAATTTCATCCTTATTTAATATTCCGTGGTTCCAAGATTGTAGTAAATTCTTTAAAGCATTAGAATTATCCCGAACGCAAAATTTAGAAAACTATCTGTTTCCTGTGCTAACTGGATTTGTATGGAAAAATTACGTTATTGGAACCACAAACCAGGGTTTGAATAGTATTCGTGTAGTAAACCATGGTTGAAATCTCAAACAATATCTCTTCTCTGTTGTAGAAAAGAAAAGACTTAATAAGAAGCGTAGCTGTTGAAAGAACAGTACACCTTTTCCCCCCAAAGCTATATATGACTTTAAATGCACAGCATCAGACTCAAACCACGAAATTCTATCAAATACTAACAAGAATTAAGTTTTTTTTATTCTTTATCTTCAGATTTACAATTGTTTACAATGTGCTATTTAAACATAAAGCCAATGACTCCAAGTAAATCTTGACACTGGTGCACCACTTCGAATAGCTTCATGTTCAGATATTGGTGAGATGCAACAAGCTATACGCTGCAAGTATAGAAACAGTTAAGAAATCTCGGCCAGGTTTTAAGCTGTGAAGAAAAGTTCTCGTAGATGGTAGGAAAAACTTAAAACAAAGCTTGTGGTACTGCTCTTCAAGGGTGGTTCCAGAATTCAGGTCAGGGCTAGAAGACAGTAGAGAGACAGTAATATGTAATACTTAAAGCGGCGATTGTATAGTATTTATACAAAATATGTAGATATCCACAAAGAATCACTTTTGTTTTTTTTTTTAAATTTGTGTAACAAAATCAATTAAATCTCATAATAAAGACCAGGCCATGCCTTATGGTTCCATTGACCTCCTCGAACTTGCTGTTACCAACCAGCAAAGGGGAGAAGTGGAGGATTTAATGTCAGTTATTATTACATTAAACATTTACACACATACCCGCACATGGTCTACCATTCGCACAACATAGAAAAAGTTAGCTTTTTAAAAAAAAAAGTACTACAAAATTACTTCATCAGTTTTGTGGTTTTAACAAACAAAAGTTGCTCACAAGATAATTTTAAAATCTTTCTTAGGTCAAAACAAACCTGTCGACAATTTCCAGGTGTAGAAATCAGTTTGTAAATGGCCACAATAGGTATCATGATAATTGAGGAGCAGGCCAGTCCCCAGCCCAGAAACACAGCCCACTGAGGATATATGTAATTCTGGTACACCAACGGCTGTTGATACAATAATCCAAAGACGACCACACCCTGGAAAATTAACCAAACTATACTTATTGATTAAAACCATTAACCCATAGTTAAAAAAGAAAATCGAATGTTTGAATAAAAACATTCGTATTGATTGAATATAAATATATAAGTGATACAATTTTAAAACTTTGCCAGTTTACTTCACTATTAAATAATACAATATTACTTACAATAATAAATACAGGACTGACAAACTTCCAGCATATCCGCCAGTATAACCCGGGCCGGAAACCAAGCATTTCTTCAACGTCATCGGAGAATCTTTTCAAACCTGGAAATACTAGATATTAAGTATAGTCCATTTGTCAGTATCTAGCGACCCAACTACAAACAATGGTTTAAATGATAGCAGCAGAGCAGATGCCCTGGGCGAACCTCTGAAAAACTATGTTATTGACGAATGGAGAAAGGACAGATATATTGGTGGAAGTTACTCATACTTCAACAAACCAATGAGCTTCGAGAAAAACAGTTCTTTTCTTGACGTCAAACACAATACAGCGATCCTGAAATAAATACTGGAGCCTGCAGGAAAAATTCAAAAGCCTGACTGAACCTTAGGACTAAGGTCATGTACACTCGTCTCCTAACTTGCCTTACCTACGCTTGTCAAAAATGGAAATACACACTAATAAATAAGAATAATAATAAAGCCCGTTTAATTTCCAATCATTACAAAAACAAATTATAATACACAGCTTAGATTATTTTACATTTTTATACATTTTTTTTCTTTTGCTTGTTATTCTATATTCTAGCTTCCTTGGGTACCGTCGATTGGAACCCCTTCACGGGTAAAGGCCTCCTCCAGCTTTTTCCAACTGACTCCGTCTATGGCTCTCTTTCTCCATCCGTTTCCTGCTACCGCTTCTATTTCTTCTATACACCTTTTTTTTGGGCAACCTCTTCTCCTTCTTCCTCTTGGTCCTTTTCACACAGTTAGTCTTTAAGGTCCACCTATTATCGGTGTATCTTGCTATATGCGCTGCCCATTCCCACTTCTGTCTTAGGGCATAATGTAAGGCATCTATAACTTTTGTTCTTCGTCTTATTTTTTCGCTTTTAATTTTATGTATTTTTCTTATTTTAAGTACGCTTCTTTCCATTGCTTTTTTGGCATGCTACTAGTTTATATTAATTCGCTGCTCTACCTCAAGTTCTTCATTTTTATCTTCGAATGATAATTGTTTACCAAGGTATATGTAGTTTTTTTACATATTCCAGAGGCTTTCCGTTAAGGTATACTGTAGTGTGTCTAGCAAAATACTAGAATTTTTGTGGAACAAATCGTTTAAAAGTCGTAAATAATCCGACGAGTTCGACTAACGCTCACGCCCTTGGGCCGCCGGTACCACCGCTATGACCATCAACATTCTTTTTTTCATTTCGTAATAAGACCCCTGTAGACCCGCCATACTGGTACAAATGACTAACTATTTTGTGTCAATAATATCTCCCGGCCTCTCTAATTACTTTATTATGACTAGTTGTCTATTTGTAGGTCTTCATTGTTAACATGAATAAACAAAATAAGATAAAGTGATCTAATAAAGGCAATTACCATAGAACCAGGAGACAGCTACAGCTTCGAAGAGCGCCGAGCAAAGAAGAGAAATACCCGCTGCGTAGGTGTCCAGTAAATGGAACAGATAGATACCTCCCTGAAACATTATTTTATATTTATTTAATAAGAAAGTAATAAATTGAAAAACTATGTGACATATTTCATAAAGTCTCGCAATCGTAATAGAAGATGGCACAAAAGGTGAATAGGTGAAAATAATCTTACCGGTGTAACATTTATACACGCAATACAAAAAGACAGACACACAACCAAGAGTGTGAAGTGTTCACGACGTAACCACCGCGCCCCACTTGCTCTTGCCGCGTCTAAGAGACCTGTGATCACGCACTCAAGACCGCCCATCTAGAAATAGGTAAATACGTAATAAATTATTTTATAATAAAGTTTTTAATACGAATAACGTTTAATTTATGTGGTACATAGCCTTTAAGTTAAATTTACTACCTCCTGGATTGTCCTATAAAATCTTTGGTGTCCATTAACTCACAGTTCAAAATTAGACCCAAAAAGTGGAACCTATAATAGCGAAATATTTACGTCGACTAAGGCTAACTGTAATACCACTGAGTATTATGATGATAACGTGAAAGAATAATTCATATTTCTTTGTTTACTTTTATTTTTAAATTTATTGCATGTACGGCTATATTTTATTGTGATTATTTTAAGAACGACTACAATGTTATGTTATCTAGAGTATTATTCTCATGTAAGTGACATTTTTTTGTCTTTTTTGAGAAATAAAGTCTTTAAACCTAAACCTAAGAATAAACTTAACAATAAACACTGACCCCAGAATCCAAGCCAAGCATAATAAGCATAAAGAAGAACAGCATAGCCCATAAACTTGCTCCTGGCAGCGTGGCCACTGCTTCTGGGTACACTTGGAAAACGAGGCCGGGACCTGAAGGAAATAAATACGTAATATTTGAACTAAAGTGTATCTATAAAATAAATCAATGACGCTCCAAACTTTTTAGGTCTTGGCCTCAACTTTCTGTATCTTTTTCATGATCATTTCTGAATCTAATAGGCAAGCAGGTGGACAGCCTTCTATGCCTGACGCAGCCCTTGACTTAGACCCACTAAGGTAAGCCGGTTTCCTCACGATGTTTTTCTTCACCGTTCGAGCGAAATGTTAAATGCGCACATAGATATAAAGTCCATTGATGCACAGTCGGGGATCGAACCTACAACCTGAGGGATGAGAGTCGCACGCTGAAGCCACTAGGCCAACACTGCTCTGCTCAAGTGTAATAATAATAATAATTTATGTATCTATACCACTATAGAAAAAATATTAAAAGACGTACCTACATAAATCAATTTGATAGAAATATTTTCTTTAATGCATTATTTACAAAATTATACCCTTTACAACAATTATTGTGGACGTGGAAATTTTGATTAGAAGTGAGGCAATATTAATGAAAAATATTATTTGTGTGTCATAATCGATTGATGTGAAATTGATGGACGACAACCAACTCATGGTCATTAAAATATCAAACATTCTATATTGTTATTAACGCATGGTTATTATATTTTATCTAACAAAGTCTACTGCATTATATCATGTTATTGTTGGTATTAGTACTTTATATCCATGTACCTTTAAAAATTAGGATATCCTGAGATGGTAAGAGAAATAAAAGTACTAGACATTTGATTAAAAAAAGGAAATTATTCTACCTTCAGTAGCAACAGACGATATAGGAACTCCTTGTTTGTGTGACATAAAACCCAGGTAGGTGAAGATTACGAAACCGGAGAAGAAAGACGTGAAGCAGTTCACTAGAGTCGTGACCAGACAATCCCTGAAATCACAAAAATACCGCCAATAAATGTAATTGTCTATGATTGAACAAGAAATTTTTAATTTTTGTTTCAGTAAATCTTGCTAATTAAATAATAGTAAATACTTTTTATAGTTAAGTCTGATTTTCTGGCTGATATATTTTAGGTCTGCCTTGCGATTCTGTAACTCACTTTTCGAACTCACACAGCCGTTTTCGCATCGGCGGTCGCTCTCAAATCAGTCGTGAAGCAGTCATTTTATGATTTGGCATCCTGATAAACAATAAACTACAAGCTCCCACCTTTTCAGAATCGCAAGTCTGTTCAATATTGGTACAAATATCTTATGTAATACATTTAAATTTTTTCTTCATATTACCTGTAGCAGTTATTATGAAACGTATTGTAACTCGCGTAAGAGAGATGAACTCCAAAACCGGCACCCACCGAGTAAAATATCTGAACAGCCGCGTCCACCCAAACCTGAAAAATTGGCAAAACTTTATTTTTTAGTTTACTGTTCTAGCATTTACTGGTAAAGAGAAGAAAGCACGCAATCAAGCCTAAAGGCGGCCAAACTTTGGTTTTCGTATGGATTTTACTCAAAAAATTCGTGAGAAATCAGTCCAATACTCAAAAATCGACAGCGTGATTAGGTAAACTACAGTCATTTGAGTCCAGTAATCAGAATTGTTTAAATTTGCTTTAGTTAGTTATTTGTCCCTCGGCTTATTCCGCTATTTACGCACTCCCTAATCACTCTTTAGCGAGTAAATACGTAATCTGCTTTTACGAACTGCTAGTGGAGGACTCCGGAAGATAGTATATTATTAAGAAACAGCTGGTGATATAGGAACCATGGCAGAGTTTGGAACAGCGCAAACAGAAATGGTGGGATTTGGAGGAGGCCTTTATCAAAAAAAGGGCAAAAAGTTATCTAAAAAGAATGAGAAGATTGTAATAAAACTGTGTTTAATTAAAGTACCTGAAACAAAACGCTTTTGTTTAAAAAATCAACAGCATTTTCTAGAAGGCTGGCGAGGAACTCACTAACATGGGAGTCATTGCATTGCGGTGGCTGTCTATTATGTTCCATAGGCTGATTTTCCCTCTATTACTAAAAATTTGCTATTTTCACATGTGTAACAGTTTGATCTGCATGTGACATTCTTAGAATTATATAATGCCGATCTATTTAGGCTTTCACACACGTGTAGTCATAAAAGTTATATTGAGATTACCTGTGTATCCTTCAGCCTCGACAGTTCTGGGTGCAAGTAGTAAGCAATTCCACGTGTCGCTCCAGGTAGGAGTAATCCACGAGCAAGCAAAATTGATAATACTACGTATGGCATCGTTGCAGTCATCCAAACCACTTTACCTGAAAATTTGTATAAAAAATAATCATGATTTAATTATATTTAAGATATATTATGTATTGTAGTTATTTCTACACGCTTTTGGTGGGTAGCACACGGGCAGGAGGCTCACTTGAAGTTAAGTGATACCGCCGCCCATGGACACTCAATGCCAGAGGGCACGCGCGTTCGTTGCCGGCTTTTTAAGTATTGGTACGCTCTGTACTTGACCCTAAGTCCAATTGGTTGGGAAATACTTCAGTTTTTCTTACAAGTTCACAAAAGAGTGTGAGACTTTATATGAATTACAATTAAGCCTATACAACAGTTATGGCTAAAAAAATAAAAAAAATCAGTGGAGTACAATCTTTTTATGTCTATGTCTCAGATTTCTGTATCTATTTCATGATCAATTATTAATATAATAGGCAAGCTCTTTTGCCTAACACACGCCGTCGACTTTTTGGGTCTAAGGCAACATTTTTTCGCGATGTTTTCCTTCACCGTACGAGCGAATCTTAAAATATGCGCACATAGAAAGTCCATTGGTATTTGGTGCACAGTAGATCGAACCTACGGCCTCAGAGAAGAGTCGCACGCTGAAGCCAGCACTACTGTGATTATGGGTGATAAGTAATATTATGTTGAATATTCTACAATACTAGTGATTAGCTTCTAGCTACTGTTCGTTAACCGTCTCGTGTATAATAATTATTATTTCCATTTTACATAGAACGGTCTTCGTGAGATATTTTGCAAAATTAACGTCATTTCTAGCTTAAAAATTTCGTAGAGTTTCGAAGGATAGAAGAAACTAGGTACGGTAAAAGCGTCTACACACGGCCCTAAAATCAGTGGCCATATCGGGACAATGGTGGTTGGGAAGGAGCGTAGTTCGAATCGGCAATAGCATTAGGGTTGACATGATAAAATTAGGGTACGATTTGCCTACACACGAGGCGATCTAGGGATCGGTGGCACCACTTCCTCGATATTACCTCTGATTTAAGGACCGAGTGTAGACGCTTTAAAACTAAAACTTACCGGAACTTTTGACTCCTTTGAACAGCGATAGGTACAATGTTATGTACACGATTCCTAAGCAAATAGTGAGCTGCCATTTTGGGAAACCCAAGTCATTCAATCCTTCAGAATACTGCATTTCGAGTACTGCACGACTGAAAAGTTGTTTTAATAAACATCGTAGAAATCTAAATTATTATTATTTTTACCGAACAGGAGGCAAACGGGCAGGAGGCTCATCTGATGTTAAGTGATATCGCCTATGTATCTCAAAGCTAGGGGGCTCGCGTGTGCGTTGCCGGTTTTAAGAATTGGTACGCTCTTTTCTTGAAGGACCCTAAGTCGAATTGGTTCGGAAATACTTCAGTGGGCAGCTGGTTCCACATAGTGCGCGGAAAAACTGTCTTAAAAAACGCTCAGTTGTGGAACGACGGACGTCGAGGTGAATAGAATGTCGTATTCTGCATCGACGTCCAAATCAAATCAAATCAAAATACGTTTATTCAATTTAGATGCTTCTTAGAGCATGCTTATGAATGATCCGATGTTGAACTCTGAGCTGCAGCTGCATTAATTAATCATTAACTAGTTAATTATTTTATTCATTCCTTAATAATTAAAGTTTTACGCAAAAAAATATCAATTTAAACAAAACTGTGGATGGAAATTACGTCTTTTTACTGTTGTTGGTTTATGAGTTGCTGAAATTCAATCAAAGAAAAATTGTAATTTGCAAATGCAAATTGTTTACATGAAAACCTTGACATCTACTATAACTACAATAATAAAATGTTTCCCGCCTACTTATTAATGGAAAATTGATAAGATTTTTTATTATGATAATAAATTTGGGACATCTTTTTTTTTACGCAAGTAAATGATCAGCCTTTTGTACCTGAGACTCGCCGACTTTTTGGGTCTAAGGTATGCCGGTTTCCTGACGAAGTTTTCCTTTATCTAACTAGCGAGTGTAAAACGCCCACGTAGACAGTCCATTGGTGCACAGGTCGAACCTACTATCTCAGACCACGCTGAAGCTATTACGCCAATAATACTCAAGAACAATTACAACTTACTGAAAGAACTCAGATGCTGGTGTGAAATGTGACAGCGGGCCCTGGTATGATATATCAGTCTTGTTGGTTGTGTTTTGTCTTGAGGCGTCCCAGCATTGATCCGTATTCCACGGGTTGTCACAATGTAGCCAGGGAAGTTCTGAACGAGCTGATGATACGAGGAAGTAGAGTGCCCACCCTGTAAATGAGTTAAACGGTTTCGTAAGGGTTTTAGTTTTACCAGTTCTCGTCCCATACTACCGTCTTGATTAGATAAATAGCACTAAATGTAAATTTAGGACATTAATAACTCAGATAATATCTGTTTCGTGACCATTTTTCAATCTAATAGGCAAGTTGGTGATCAGCCTCCTGTGCCTGACACACGCCGTCGACTTTTTGGGTCTAAGACAACCGTTTTCTTCACGATGTTTCCCTTCACCGTTCGAACAAATGTTAAATGCGCACATAGATAGGAAGTCCATTGGTGCACAGCCGGGGATCGAACCTACGAACTCAGGTATAAGAGACATATGCTGAAGCCACTAGGCCAACACTGCTGCAAATAAACTCTCATATAACATGCCTAATATTATGTCAATGAACAACTTAATTTGGGAGACGAAAACTTATCGAAGCCATAAATATCTTAAGAAGCAGCAATAGTTATTAAATTACCTACATGGATGAATTATATTGATATTTTGATTTTGACCTCAAGATAGTAGTCCCTAAGTGACCGGTTTAATTACTATTAGACTTATTTTTCCCCCAAACGATCGTTGAGATCCCTGGTAAATATAGAAATAACATATATGGATTCTGCGTCTTAAAATTAGACTCATTAGAAGCTCATTCTTTCAACAATTCCTAAAAATGGGTGCCTATGGTCTGCGATGACTGCCCTTTTTTGGACGTCCAGTTGCCCCCCTAATATATAATTTAAAAAAAATCATTCATAGTTGGGCCCCATTGTGTCCCATGGCACATGCCTTTTTGTGACTGTTTCTAAATTGGTTTCCTAATACACGTCGATTATTGGATTCCGGTTTCTTCCCGATGTTTTTCTTCCGTAGGAGCAACAATTAAAAAATATTTTGTTATGGAAGAGCTGGGACACAAGTAGTTTTACGTAAATCTTACACTTTATAATGAATTATTTATAATGAATAAACACATTTTTACATTTAAGCCCTACAAGACCAAACTTTTAAGTGGGTAAAGTGATAATGAAACTTTGAACTAATTCAGAAAACTTACCGATAATAACGTTATAATAAAAAGAAACGTAGAATGCCACCATAACTGCGCAAAATCCCACACCTGTAAAAACATTAATTATAAGTTATTTAATTATATTAGATATACTCGTAATACATCTTAAACTTATATGAACCCATAATAATAATAAAAGCCTTTCAATTCAGATACTTTTACATTTAAACTCGTTTCTATTTTAATATTCTTTTTTGGTATCTGCGTGCCCTTTATTGGCAAAGCCTTCCTTCAAATCCCGCCATTCCTCTGCACTGTGCCTCTCTGTCTCTGCTATGTACCACCTCTGTTTTCTCACGTTTTCCTCTGTTTTGTTTGCTGTACCTTGGGCACTTTAGTACTTTTTTGATATGAACCCATAACGTGACTTAATTTTTGTTTGGTGGGTTAAATGATTTGATGTATGCTTAACGTAAGCAAGACACAGATTATAGATACCATTGCAAATCAGTAAAATTACAACAACAATCCTGCTAGATCTGAAGCTTACGAAAGTTTTATTTATAGGAAGAAGATATTAAACTTAGAGATTATACTTGATTATAAAAAGTGCATATATGCTCTTAGCTTCATATCTACTCTAGCCTTGTGTACATTGGAAAGGCACACAAAGGCCGTATATCATCGTTAAAGTCCACTAATAATAAGGCATTGAGGCTCTTAGCATCTAATATACAATCTTTCAATGAAACGGAATATATTCCGTCAAGCTAACTTCGGCTGTCACCATAATAACCTATGATACGAACCAATAGATCTGAAAATGTGATAAAAATTCAGTTAAAGTACCAACCGGCTTGGCAGCTATTGTTTATTAGGGACCTATCTGGTCGCCAAACTCCAAAAAAGTACATTGTTTCTTTCCATTTTACGTCATCGTTTCTTGAAGTAGGACGAATGGAAAAATATATGGAAGTAAGGTGAAGTAGTTGTATCCATTTTGAAAGATCGATACACGATATAAATAACTTCACTCGATAGAAAAAAAATTGAAACATAGCCAATTTTTGACACTTTGATTACATTTTATGACGAAAATGTATATAGAACATGATTTTGAAATTTACACGATATATTTTATCGCAAGCCAAGTAATTCATTTCAGAAAAAAAATGATAAAATGACATTAATTTAATGTATTACATAACTAATTAGATAACATACTGATACAGCAATTCGGGCTGGGATAGGGCCTTAAGACTGAAGATACAGAAATGTGTGACACACGTGCTGTCTACTAGTGTAGGTACAGTACCTACCTATTAGTCTTTAGTCAACGGCATAAGTCCGATACAATGGGAGCATCAAAAAATCATCAGAATTTACTTATTTAAGGCTAGAGTCAGTAAAGAACCGGCGTGGCAGTTTTGCGAACAAATATATTTCTTAGTTGCATTCATTTACAAAAATTATGTTTATTTAACATATGAAATTGGCGTTTTGTATAAAAGTCAAAATCATTTATTCATTATAGGTAACGCAATGTATACTTATGAACAAAAAAAATTTATATTTAAATACTTCTACTTTTACATTTACTGCCAGTTCTCAAATCAAGGGCGTACAACGGAAGAGAAGAACTGGCAATAAACTCTCCACTACTCTTTTTACTTTTCACTCTCTGCAACCATTACACCATGTTCCACATGAAATCTTAAGTTATAAATAATAATAAAATAAACTAAAAACAAAGATTTGTCCTCTATCAGCAGGAGACATGGTGAATACAGAACACGCACTTATATTCTCGTGGGAACAACACGCAAACACATAGTCAAAATAACTAACATCACCGCATACACGAATTTAAGTACGGTAATTCAAGTATAGGAGGAACAAAAAGTTGATTTTTTAAATATAGTATATTTAATTAATTAGAGTATGTACCATTGCTATCTATGCACTTTTACCATATTATAGGTAGTTAAATAATCGTTTTACTAAAAAACCATTCGGACGCGAATCACTAAAATCTTTGAAGGCGGTTTCGACTGGCCCATCAGAGTTGAACTTTTTTACCTTACAAGAAGTTATCCAAATTTCGAAATTTGATTGAAAAAAACGTCAATTTTAATGTAAGGACCTAATATTAAGTAATAAGGACCTAATGTAAAGTTAACGGTAATTCAGCGCTGCAGGTACCAAAATTCCCACGACAGTTCTCTTTCCGTACAGAATTGACAGCTTTTTCTTATAAGAAAAATTACGAGGTCATTATAATATCACGTCACATTCATTCTACAATTTGAACATTACAGTATGTACAGTAAAATTTATTATCTATATCTATGATGAAATCTTGGCTTAATGGAAGTGCGATCTATCAACGTCCTAACTTAAAACTGAGCCAACATTGGATCACAGATCTATTTAAACTTGATGGATAACCTAAAAATCGCGCTAACAAAAGACTTAGAGATCGTGACATACTGACCCTATCCGAAAGTTTTTATTACAACTAAAATATAACATACAAGTTTTTCAATTTTCCATCCATATCTATATTATTTTATGTTTTGTTACATATGTGAGCACCATGTATCTACATAATAATTTAGTTATCTGCTCCATTGTTTTTATAACACCATGCGCCTAGTTTATTTTAGTATAGTCGTTTTTTTGTTCTAGGTCGTCACATATCAAATCAATGTATACAAAATATTGCAAAAACTATTTTTAAAGTAAGTATGGAGTTTCTTGCCCATTCTTCTAGAACTAACTTATATAGCTCGTTCCGAGCAACAACTCTTTTTTTTAATGTTTTTAACTGTTTTTAAGTAATTTTGACTTTCAAAAGTGCCTTTTTAATAGGCCTAATTGAAATGAGGTCAAATGAGATTTAACTTTGAGTTTAAAAGCAAAGCTTTAATTAGACACTTAAATAATATTTTACAGGCACTGTAAATAAATAAAAGAGTAATAGGTCTAACATAATTAAATTGAAAATTATTATAATTAAACTAACATATCTCGTCAACCACAAACATGGCAAAGACACGTGAACATCTGTAATAAATAATTATAAAGTTGTCTCCAAACGCGTTATAAAGTAGCCACATATTTTCATTATAATCATAAAATACATGTATAATAAGGGTGCATATACAATCTATAATTAAACATATAAAAGACAGAAAGAGTACCGACCTTTGAAAAGCGGACAAATTTTCCACAGAGTTATAGGGCCCTGTCGATTGTACTGGCCCAAAATCAGTTCCATGTAGAACAGAGGTACTGCTCCGAAGATCAGCATCAATGTGTATGGTATCAGGAATGCACCTGTTTCATAATACATAATTTTAATAATTAATTGAACTTACTATTACTATACAAAATACTATTACGAAATTCGAGGAGGATTCCTTTATTTATCAGGATCAAGAAAAAGACATTGTTTTGTAGACAGCTATCTATCTATATATCTTCAAAACTTTTCATAATACAAGCGTGTTAGTTTTTAATTATGTCGCGAGATAGCGCTTGCATAAGTTAATACGTATATATTTAGAACTTTAGTTCAAATAAATTGTGTTGAGTTAAACGCGACTTGATTCCTGACACAAAAACAGTTGGTGTACCTATAGCGCCTGATTTCATAATATCACAAAATGGTTATGCGTTTTTTTAGTGTGAAAGTTTAAGTTAAAGCAATAGTCATCATTTTCAGGTATTAAACATTACGTGTCCATCCTTATATAGCTCCATACGTTTTATTATCAGCGCTGGTATTCTGTAAACTTTATTAATATTAATGTATCCATATCAAGTAGCTACATCAGCGCTACTGATATTGAAAGAATTATGTATATTTGCATACAAAAACGCTTTTGTTATCAGGACTTGTATTGACGTTGTTATCTATAAATTAAATAAATATAAATTGAGACAGTGTTCAGCACCAGAGCTATCAATAATAATGATTCTCATAATTACATGCGGCGGTTTTATATCATTTGGAGCGGTATTGGCCTCGTGGCCTGGTTTCAGCGTGCGACTCACATCCCTGAGGTCATAGGTTCGAGCCTCCGCTGTGCACTAATGGACTTTCTGTCTATGTGCACATGCTTGTACGGTGAAGGAAAACATCGTAACAACATATACCTTAGGCCCAAAAGCCGACAGCGTGTCAGGCACAGAAGTCGGATCACCTACTAGCCAATTAGAAAAAAAACAAATGAAATTAGAGGTTTTAAGCATAGGACCTCAGGGATGACTATTATTTATCTAACAACTATGCTAAAATTAAAAATACTAGATCCTGCGGCACCTACCTCCTCCATTCCGATAGCAGAGGTATGGAAAACGCCAAACATTAGCCAAATCCACTGCGAAGCCAATGATGGAGAGGAGGAAGTCAGCTCCAGTTCCCCACGTCTCCCGGTCATCGTCAGGCTTCTCAGTCAAATCTATAACAATTTAACTTGTTGAAATTACACTAAAGTTATAGTGAATTTGTTTTTATTTAATATAATAATCAAACAATGTTGTTCATTGATATACTCTCAGGGATTGGATTACGGCTAGACTTTAACGGCGCAGGAGATTTATAATAAAGTAATTACAAAGTTGTAACTACTTCAGATTACAATCTTAATCCTAGACCCTAGTCGGATTAATATTGGATTGTTTATTGATTATATAACAATAATAATAGCCTTTTAATGCAGATACTTTTACATTTAAACACGTTTTTATTTCAATCTTCTTTTAGGTATCTGTGTGCTCTGTTTTGTCAAAGGCCTCCTCAAAATCCCGCCATTCCTCTCTGCACTGTGCCACTATCTGCCATGTACCTGCTGTTTCTTTAATTTGGTCTATCCACCTTCTCAATTGTCTTCTTGTTTGGCGTTTATGGGCACCAGTTTAGTACTTTCTCGCTCCACATTTCTGTTTCTCTTGCCATTGGATATCACTGATTCTATTTAATTTTAGTGTTGTTTTAAAAGAAGAGTAGATGTCAAAAGTACTTACTGACTTTGATGCTATGTTTCCTATTCCTTTTTGGCGGTTCCGTGAAGTAACCTTCTTCAGCGATTTCAATTTTCGGCTCTTCTGAAAAATTTATAAGTTTACTAGCTGATCCGGCAAACGTCGTTTTGCCATGTACTCGTATATCATTTATAATAAAAAATAGGGGTTGGTGATAGAAGGGCAAAAACTTAGGGTTGTATGTATTTTTGAATATCGTATCATAAAAAAATAAAAAAAAAAATTTTGTCAAAAAAATGAAAAAAAAAAATTGAGGGGTGGACCACCCTTATTATTTAGGGGTGTGAAAAATAGATGTTAGCCGATTCTCAGACCTACCCAATATGCTTACCAAATTTCAGAGGAATCGGTCAAGCCGTTTCGGAGGAGTATGCAGACTAACATTGTGACACGAGAATTTTATATATAAGATTTCTGTCTTCATTTTCTTCGTCAATATTGGTGAGAGAAAATAAATATTATGGTTAAAACGGTACAACTAGACTCTTTGATATAAAGTAAGTTAAGGATATCGTAAAGTCAAATCTATTAAAGGGGCAAATTGTGCAAAGAATAACATACAAGGCGGGCAACGTACACGCGAGCCCTCTGGCATTGAAAGTGTCCATGCTCGGCGGTATCACTTAACATCAGATGAGCCTTAGCTCACCTCAAAATAGAGCAAAGAAATTTCCAGTTATTTTGTTAGTTTCCTAATAATTCAAATGTCCTGGGATTGATTCCGTGAATTAACGATGGTAGTATAGATTAAAAGATCACCCATTTTAATTTTTTACACCTATATTTAATGACAGCACAGCAACATCAGCAACTGTGAAACAGCACAGAAATATGGCCCACGAATATTGTACAGTTTAATTACATATAAATAAATCGTTTATTTACAGAGAAAGTGGTACATTCTGATTGATTAATTATAAAAATCCGTACAATCAGACATATAATAGGCATGCAAATGTCATATTAATTATCATAATGTCGAATCATGTAATTATCAAAACTTATGGTCTAAATACTAACTACCAAGGCCTATTAAGGCACGTTGCTTTCAAAAATTAATCACCTTCCCCTTGAAAAAAAAAATATTTATAAGTAAACATGAATACTTACTTTTATAACAAGACAATGTAACCACAGAACCTTTGGTTGATTTGTGATCTGCAAAAAGTAATTGGAATAAAAAATAATATAAGAGCCTTTCCTCCAACTTCGATTTTGTTTCCTTTGGAGTTCTCTTGGGCCGTGGGGTTCAAGTGCACAGGCGCTAATTTAAATAATTATTACTGTGTAGGTTAAGAAACTTGTAAATATTACTCACAACATATTATGTCCTATGCTTAGTTCGTAAACAATAAAATTTTAGTATATAACAATAATATCTCATAGAAAAATTTAAAACAGAACAACAGATAGAATGCAAAGCCATCAGCCTCAGCCACGATCACTAGATCTCAATAAGAATACCGCAGATTCCGAATGGCTCTTTATTATACCGCGTTTCGCCTAATGGAATACCGATACGGAAAAATTCCAAAGATCAAGAATGCGTTAAACGTGTTTTGCAATCGTCAAATCTCGATTCAAACCCATTTTAAATCTACGTCCAGTTTTTGATGATTAAACGATAACGTAATAAAACTATTCAGTTAAAAAACAAGTGTCTATAAACTAGTTCCATATGCGTTATTTTGGTCGTATTAACATCCCAAGTACACACGAAAAACAATAAACTTTCAACGAGAACTAGTATTCCAATCAAACCCAGGGGCGCTACAACCATTTTTTAGGTCTGGACATTTCTGTGTCTGTTTCATGATCATTAGTCAATTTAACAGGCAAGTAGGTGATCAGCCTTCTGTGCCTGACACACGCTGTTGACTTTTTAGGTCTAAGGCAACCCGGTTTCCTCACGATGTTTTCTTTTATGAGGAGCTTTTTTGAACTTTCAACTTATATGAGGACAAAACCTTCTAAGGAAATTTCCAATGGCCCTGAACTATAGGAATATAGAGCCTTTATTCGCAATTGTTTTAAAGCAACAAGTTGAGAGCCGAGTGCACTCGTCGAAGTTATTACCTCTTCACAACTCAATTTTATTACTATCCGACCTTTATCGACTCTTCAGCGCGGTTTAATATAACCTTTTATCATTGTAATGTTTCACAAATTCCGAAGCGAGAACTAGGTTTATTATGAGAGTAATAATCAATAAAAAATCTGATTAAAAATAGTTTTACTATCAACTAGATGTATTTTCTTTCCTCCGACTTCGATTATGTTCCCTTTGGAGTTATGAACTTTTGGGCCGTGGGGTTCAATTCCGCTAATAAAAGATTTTAATTGGTGCCTGGTAGATAGTACCGGTGACCTCAAGCTGGCACTTTCCTTGCTCAACGTATAAGTATACACAGGGACCAAACTTTTTAAATTTGTTTTAATTTTCTATTTATTAATTATTTTTAATTATTATTAACCTTAATTACTTGTGAATGTAATTAGGTTAATGAATATAGGCAAATTATTTTCTATTTCTTTATTGTTATATGTATAACTACCAAAAGTAAAAAAATAAAAATAATTGTCTACATTTACAAAATTAAGCTCTAAGTAACATAGATATATGGAAAATATAAAAAAAATCCAGTCGTGCGAATCCAGGCCAGCATGAATTGAGAAACTCCTCCTTTTCAGACTGGTTTAAAAATAAATCATAAAGTGAAAGGAGCGATATTCTTAAACATTTCTACCAACTACATGATAGACAAATTACCAAGTGCACGCGGCGTACTTCCAGCTGAACAATAGCCATCGTCCCTCACGCTTCTGCCACCTGGAGTACCAGAATGACGCGTAAGTAGTGCTGGACTGGCGCGTTGCTCATCATACGATGGAACAGTATGCGTCACCACTATGCCACTGTTCAGTGTTGCCTGTATAAAATATTTCGAGTTATGTAACCTAACATTTTAATTTATTTATTATTTACACAAATACAGTATTTACAATGTTCTTAACCTATAAAGTAATAATAAAAATAATTAAAGAAGAAAGAAGAAAATCAAAACAAATTTAAAAAGTTTGGTCCCTGTGGCAGTGTACCTTTAACGCTGGCAGCATTTCCTCGCTGTATTGCGATACTTATTCTTTGAGCCAGGAAAGTGCTAGCTCTGCGGTCACCGGTACTATCTACCAGGCGCCAACTTAAATCTTTAATAAGCGCCTGTGCACTTGAACCCCACGGCCCAAGAGTCTCTACTCCAAAGGGAACAAAATTTAAGTTGGAGGAAAGACTCTTATATTTGTGCCGTTTGTTAATTTCTGCCTGTTCTGCGGCCGCGCCAGCTTTTTTGCTTGTCCGAAGGAGATGAGACGGGGCAAAGGTGTCTTCACAGGTAGCATCCCATACTAAAGCCCGTCCCATTTTCCAAGGGATCAAAGACATTCCATCCGGCCGCTTGCCATCGTCTCTTGCGATGCCTGTTGGCTCCAAAATTGCTGGAACATTGACAGAGGCAAGAGAGCGGCGTATAATGTCGTTTAGCGCGGCATGGCGAGAAAAACGACCTGCACTCTTTTGGCAGTGTAGGCCATGGTGTCCAAGGCTACTTACTTCAAAACCACAGGGACACTTATGGGGAGTACATATGGGCACTCCTAAGCGTAGGCTGATGGCAATTCGAAGTGATTCAGGGTCTAAAAGGGTGCCAGTGTTTGGCGAAGGATAAGCATTAAGCCAATGTCCAGCTTCCCTAGACCCCACAGCCATCAACATTAACATTAGTTAAGTTACATATATAATATATATATTTTAGTTAATTAGAATCGCAAATATTAACAATGTTCTTTCATTTCAAGACAATAAATTGTCAAACGTCAGTTTTGCTAGTAATAAATGAGTCCTTCAGTTTTTGATACACTTGTAAAATAACATTCTCGTTTCCGATAATGTACAATCCTTTATAGGTATCGTTATTTTTAGCTAGTATTTAATAAATTTTTCATTTGTGTGTTATAAAACGGCTGGGAAGTAAGTTGTGTTGTTGGGATACTACCTGTGTAGACACCTTTGCCCCGTCTCATCTCCTTCGGACAAGCAAAAAGTTGGGGCGGCCGCAGAGCAGGCAGAAAATAACAAACGGCACAAATATAAGTCTTTCCTCCAACTTCAATTTTGTTCCCTTTGGAGTAGAGACTCTTGGGCCGTGGGGTTCAAGTGCACAGGCGCTTATTAAAGATTTAAGTTGGCGCCTGGTAGATAGTACCGGTGACCGCAGAGCTAGCACTTTCCTGGCTCAAAGAATAAGTATCGCAATACAGCGAGGAAATGCTGCCAGCGTTAAAGGTACACTGCCACAGGGACCAAACTTTTTAAATTTGTTTTGATTTTCATTTTATTTATTTTTAATTATTTTTATTATTACTTTATAGGTTAAGAAAATTGTAAATACTGTATTTGTTTAAAAAATTGTAACTCACATATAACAAATGTATTATTAACCCTTTTTATGTTTTGCCTTTCTAAAATTCTTATGCCTACATGTAACATACATAACTTTAATAATAAAAAATGTAATTGTTCACTTACAAAACTTAATCGAAGAAACCACTAGGGAATTCTTAACGAAACACAGTAAGTAAATTTTCAAAACATAGAACGAAAAACTGTAATTAAAATTCCAAATAAAATCAAATTGCCCCCTGTGGGGCGTGGGCCACGTTGGGAAACACTTTACGGAATAAAAATTTATAAATAAAATGATTGTTAATAATGAAAACAGCGTTTAATGCAATTATAAAAATTAAATATCTCGTCGCTTTAGTAGGGACTGAGTGTCATACGATTCTTCTTTCTTTTATTAATATTAATCATTTGTTTAATTATAAATCTCACCACAGTAGGCACGGTAGCCTTATAGTTGGGCTCATATGGACGACGGAGAGGAAGGGAAGTCGTCAAGTCTGGTCTCAGGCAACTTATTTCCGGATCCTGTCAAAAATACGTCCAAAATTTACTCATACAAACCTTTAATTCAACAGTTCCAACAGCCTGAGCTGGAACATAACGCTTATGCGTAAACATTAAGAATAATACTAATCCAGTGGTGCTACAACCCTGGCTCTCTTACCTTGATTCATTTTTGAAGTTATACTTCTTTTGGCGCGTTAGGGAAAACTGATAAGAGTAAATTTTTACGATCCGTCACACCGTCACAAAAAACCGACATTTTTTTCTATTATTAGTGTAGTTTTTTCTACAAACGTAGAATAAATTTTTTGAATGCTATGTTTCGATTATGAATCAAATTTCTTCACGATGTTTTACTTCATCATACAAGCAAGTTATAAACTATAAAGATTTTCTTCATGCACCAATATATTTCTATAAGTCTATTGTGAATTTAATCACATTCATTATTCTTGCCCGTGGCGTATATTCCTGGGCTGAATTCCGGGAAAACTGATTCCCATTGCCATATTGAGTTTTCCACGAATTTCCATCCAAGCCTCAAGGTACGGATATTGAAAAACTGCACCGAAATTAAATTGTCGTTACATGACGTGATTATTTAAATATCCGCTTTTTATTAATAGTTTTTATTCTAGCGAGTTATTTACTTTTTCGAGCAAAAAAGCGGCAGGGCCTACCATCCTTTCTTCGAAGAAGTTCGCGCCTTTTTCGACCCTATAACTTCGTTGTAGATAAAATTAGAAGCCTGAATTATCAGTTACCAAGCAGGGATAATATAAACACGGTACATTTGAAATTGTCTTCAATTTGAACCAGTATTTTAAGAACTACTTATAACTAGGCAAAAATCTTAAGCAAAAGCGCCTGTAAACTTTAATAATCGTATAAAAACATTTAAATGTCTATTTAATCCGACGATTAACACACAAAATGTTAACTGCAATACTAATTGAATCATAAACTGTGAAATACAAACTTGTGTTCTGTGAGGCGACGTGTCGTGCTGCGATTCGCTACTCGAAGACCGGTTACTTCCATCTAAAACAAAATGTCGATCTTAATAATATTCAGACTATTGCAGGAGATGGAACTAGGCGAAGTTGAGAGGCAACGAAAGTATGGTGTCCACTAAATAAAAAAAAAACCATTGTACGGTGGTTTTGTAGAGGATTTTTTGTATACTCTACATTAACCACTCGCGTACAACAATAGAAACGTTAATTGCTATGTAACGAATGAATGTAATGTAATAGTTGAAGAGACAGTAACAGTTGCCTAAGTCTGGCTATACTCTCGAGGCGTAACTCCGACCATTTAGAAAAGCGTCACGCTTACAAAACATAGTACTAGGCTCGTACAATCATAACTACTAAAATTTGTTTGACATTGGGCTCACCGAATGCCCCGCGCTTTAATAAATTAGAAATATACACTATTATGATCCTAACCTGATTAACTGAACACTATTATGATGAAACCTATAATGATCTAGCTGATTAAAGTATATTTTAAGACCTACCAAAAAATTCATACGGAGGAGTGTCGCCATAGGCGCGGTGGTAAAAGATATACGTAGATAGGACAAATATTAAAGTCACAAAATTATCGATGCCACATAATCAATAAAAAAAATATGATCATTTCCTAACTTAAACCTATATAAAAATAATATAATTTGGTTGATTCATCTGTAGTTTCGATTGCTGGACTACCAATAAAAATCTTATATATTAAAAATTTGTGGCTCTGCAACTCTTGGATGTGCCTGGGATTTCTGTGTATGTTTCATATTTTTAGTAAGCACATGGGTGATCTGCCTTTTAATACACGTCGATGTTACATACTCAATCCACTAAGCCTGTAAATATAGTATAGTAAACTTAATATAAATTTTTCCATCTACGCGTGATTTCAATCGCAAATAAAATTGAAGTAAAGGTGAGCGAATTTCATTTGAATTGAAATCAATACAATTGTTTACTTCACCTGGGATTGCAATTTACAATAGATTTAAAACTTTCCAAGGGAAGCTTCGTCAATAAAACAAATTGCTTTTGGCCCTGTTTTGCTTGCAAAGCGGTATTGTGTTATAAATTATCATAACACCGTTAGACTGTATATTCCTTTATTGTCAAATTGTATTTACGTTCAATGTTAAAATATTACATTTATCTTACATATACGAGTACAGTACCTCTTTCTTCTGTATAGTTAGGAAAAATATACAAATAAGGGGTTCCCTTATAAAAAATAAAAAGTCAAGATGTAGACATATTTCTATATTGGCAAGCAGTGTTCACACAAAAATGTTATTGCATGTTACATATCCCTTGCACCCCCTTTGCCCCACCAGCAATACCTGTACCCCTCTGACGCACAGTATTATAAAAGGAAGCGGACAACAGATATCGACAGCCCCCTTCCTGACAAAAAAGGCTGGTAGGAGGCCCCGACACGTTCTAACGGATCCGGACGATCCAATCACGATAGCTAATGACAAATAATAAGCCGCCCGCGCGGCCAATAATAATAAAAATTATAATCAGATTATGGTAAAAGCCGCCTTCACCGGGGAAGGCGAGGACCTTTACTTCGTACTTCGCTCACTCAAAACAGCCCGAGCTGAGCTGTAACGGCCCTTAAGGCCAAGGCCTTCGACACCTTGCGATTAAAAAGAGTGGCGGAGAGTTTACTGCCAGTTCTTCTCTTCCGTTCTCGCCCTTGATTTGAGAAATGCCCTGCGATTCTGTAACTCACTTTTCGAACTCACACAGCGGTTTTCGCATCCTGAAAAGGTGGGAGGTTGTAGTTTATTGTTTATTAGAATGCCAAATCATACAATGACTGCTTCACGACTGATTTGAGAGCGACCGCCGATGCGAAAACCGCTGTGTGAGTTCGAAAAGTGAGTTACAGAATCGCAGGGCTGGCAGTTAATGTAAAATTTGAAGCATTTCATTATATTATGAATAAATAATTTTGACTTTCACTTTAACTTTGATCGTGCACCTCATATCGACCCGATTCATTGTCATAGTTAAGATAAATAATTGTAATAATTATAGTAATTTAAATATATATTTTTTTTTAGATTCACCGCTGGCCCTCACTTAATTTATTGGTGTCGAATTTGTACCTACGGCCGTTATATGCCGTATAAACGGATAATGATAAAATAAAATAAAATATGTTTATTATGGAACATAAGATACAGGTATCACTTATTCCATGTCATTAAATTTGAATCGGTTGACATCCCTACTCATCGGCAAAGAAGTCAGAGGGTGTAAAGAGAAAGCCGGCGTAAAAAAACTCTCGGTACTCTTTTAAAATAGAAAATTATCAAACAACACTTATTTTAAAACCAATATCGCAAATTAATTAAAAATATATAGATAAACAAAGACAAATAAAATATAACTTAGATCTAGGACTTATTGCGATTTCAGTAAAGCTACTAATTTTATATTAGTTACTTACTTTCTCTTAACTCGCCGGCCCCTACACTATTACCCAGTACTGGCATGCCCGCCATGCTGCTATGCTCTCTCGCGCATCATACCATGACTGTAACAAACATAACAAGAATCCTTTAGATTTATTAATCAACCAGGCTCCAGAAGATAAACCACTCCTTATATCGAAATTGTATTCGTTTTTACAAAAAACTCCCAAGGGAAATTAGAGAATTATCACTAAATAAATTCAAAGCCCTCGTTTAACGTAAATTAATCAATAAAGCTTTTTATAAATTCGATTGATCGATTCTTAAATGATCCTAATCCTTAGGATTGATTAGCTCCAGTTCAAACAATTTGTATTACTCAAAACTTAGCGATTAAAAAGAGTGGCGGAGAGTTTATTCCAGTTCTTATTGCCCGCTCTACGCCCTTGACTTGCGAACTCGTAGTAAATGTAAATTTACAATTAATTAAACTTCTTTTTGACGTTCATAAGTGTACTTGTTTACCTATATGAATAAAGATATTTTGAGTTTGAGTTTATTCATCCACAACTTATTGATTGTACCTACTAATTGTTGAATTGTACTACTCTAAGATGCATCCCCTGTTTATTTTTTTGCTGGCGTCATCCAATTTTAACAAACATACAGATAGTAAAACGCTAACTGATGGGTTTATATATATGAGGTTTTCCGGTTACTATAATGCTTTAAAATCTGCGAAATATGGTTGACAAAAGACGTAGCCTGTTCAAACCTCATTAAAGAGACTTTTGCTGTTGATTGTACCACAAAGAGATGCGAGCAGCTTCTAAAAAAATAAGTGACACCAGAATCCCTGGATTTTTGGCCTCTATTTCGGTGTTTGATAGTAGATAGTAAGAGAGAGTAATTGCGCACATATGTAGAAATTTATTGCTTCTCGGTTGAACCACTAAGGTGACAGAGATCTCTCTGGTAACTATATAAAATCAAAATTCTACCAAAATATCATGATTTCTGTACTAAAATGTCATAGGTTTAAGAATACAACTACTTAAAACTTTCCTCCCTCTCACATCACATATCAATACAAATTGATTGACAGCTACGCTGAAACTATCTACGTCTCGTAATTAGTTATGGAAATACTTGAGGAAGTTAGAACTTTAGCATTATTATTTAGATTTACAGACTTCATAAACTTCCTATACCGTACGAAAGAGAACAATGCTAAACTTACTAAAGCTATATTTATAGTATAATTAATTAACCAGTTGTTTATAAGACGAAAAGAGCGTACCAATTCTAGAAAGCTCGGCAACGCACTTGCAAACCTTCTGGCAATTTGAATGTCCATGGGCGGTGGTATAACTTAACATCAGGTGAGCCTCCTGCCCGTTTGTCTTCTATTACATAAAAAAGCAGTCTTATTGTGTCGAGTCTCAATTCACCACAAAGTCAATAGGAAAAACCAAATGGCGCTTCAGATTTCTGTATCTTCTTCGTGATCTTTTTTTTACTTACAAGCTTGTAGGTGATCACCCATGTGTCTGTCACATGTAGATTTTTGGGTATAAGGCAAGGGCAAGTTTGGTTTCCTCACGATATGGAACTCCCCCTACGGGCGAGTGTTAACAAAGAGAGAAAAGTTCATTGCTGCAAAGCCAGAGTTTATGGATTCATGCAACTAGCCAACTAGCTTTAGAAGCTTGTAAAACGCGAGAAAGTGGCAGTTTAATATGTTATTCTTAAAAAGTATCTCCGTTCAAACTCAAACTTAAAAAACTTTATTCATATAGGTAAACAAGTACACTTATGAACGTCAACAGAAAAGATGTTAACACGTTTACTGGGCCATCATTTTCAAAGAACTTTCAGCTGGTGCTTTGGAGACCTAAAAGATCTCGTAACAAGCCTATCCTTTGGTGCGTTGGAGATCTAATCAGTCTCCTAAACATACAGTTTTGAAAATAATTTATATCTTCCAAAAAACAATTAAACATATTTTGAAGTTTTTGTGGGTGAAAGATAGCTTATTGCTTTATATTTTGCTAGGTTCGCATGCAGTTACGACATTTGAATAAACTACAAATACCAAAAAAAAATAGATATCGATTGTATCTCGTACGGCACCCGAAGATAGTTCAATATGTGTAGTAAGTAGTGATGGGAATAAAATAATATCTCAGTTATCGATTCTAAAAGTTTTATTAATTATGCAAAGTGTTTTTCATTTAAACATGGTAAGCACATTGATTGCTTACACATTACGCGCAAAAGTATAACAATTCGTTTAGATTTTTTAGAAGCGTCAGTGCTGTTTAACTGCGTGTGCTCCAACGAAAAAGGTTCATTGTTTTCTTTGTAGGTACGTCAAATATTTCATAATCAGAATCACTGTCATTATTAGCCAATAGGGGGCAAATTTGGACATTTTCCAACATTTTTATCGACTTCCCATGTCGATTCTGAACAACACTAAAAAGAGTCACGCAGCGCCCGCGTTGCCCATCCTCCGTCTCTTGCGTCTACGAGGCGTACGATTTTACGAGTACCGACATATCTCCTAACGCAAGGAATTAAAACAATTACAGTACTGTGCGTTAGGGACCTAATCCATCTCTAATTTATTTTTTAATGTCCTTTAATTCAGCTTTAAGTAGGAAGCAAATATATATATTTGTCCTGCTCATACTTTACAAGTTAGATCCTCCCGCAAGGAGTGAAAAAACACGATTATGTTCAACGCACAATACAAAAGTCCTGCTAGAGATCTGATAGATCTCGTAATGCAACGAATGTGTTAAATTGATTTACATTTAGTACCAGTTCGCAAGTCAAGGGCGTAGAGCGGCCAAGAACTGTCAAGAAACTCTCCGCCCCTCTCTTTAATCGCTAAGTTTTGAGTCATACAAATTGTTTGAACTGGAGCAAATCAATGCCAAGGATTAGGATGATTTAAATATTCGTCAAATTTCAAAAAAGCTTTATGGATTAATCTACGTTTAACGTTATTACATTTTATTTCTGTGTTTCGTACATTATTCCGGGTAACATTATTAATAATTATCGAAATATTAAAAGCTTCTAAATTTTCTCCATTGCTAAAACTGTTCACTATTTTTCGTTTTATCGTAACTGTTATATGAGGTTTTCCGAATCCAATAAAACTTATGATAGAACCGTATTATGTGAATGCGCATAAAGATAAGTATGGGAGACTAATAAATATTTTACTATCAATACAGGCGCAGTATTAAATGGACAGTTAACGAATTTATTACATGGTCCAAATTGTAATAATAAGTACTAGAAGGTAGGCGCGTGTTGCGTTTACTGCAATAATTATTATACGTATTCAAAAAATACAATCATACTAAAGATATAGCCAAAGATGGAACACATAATATATAGAAAAAGGTTCAAACATTTACAAAAGGAATAAATTAAAAACATTTAAGTAAATAATACCTAATTCGGCTGTGTTGTGTGACGGTATGAAAGTGATTTAACAATATGCATATTTTTAATACTTCCTTTAAGCATATTCCATATAGATAATATATTTACCGGTTACCGGTATTCTGTAAATCTCAATAGTTTTAGCGACAGAAACGTTTTTATATGCGTTATTGTTCTTGAAATATGATTTATAAGTTATAGATGTCTTACCTGATGATGAGATAAAGATATGCACAGATAAAAGGTGGACTTTAAAACTTTAAACTTGAAAGACAACAACATGGAAAGGACCAAGGAGAAGGAGAAGAGGGCGCCCTAAAAAAATGTGGATGGAAGAAATAGAAATAAGGAAGCGAATGGAGAAAGAAAGCCATAGATTTGGCGTTTGCCCGAGAAAGGGTTCCGATCAATGGTACTGAAGGAAGTTAGGATATCGAGTAACAAAAAAAATGTATATAACAAATCCAAGCTCTATATTCAACATTTTTAAAGATTGGAAATAAACGGCTTTATTATTACTTCTGTTCTTTAAATATCTGTAGTGATGAAGGTGACTGATCAAAAGCTGGGTAATGAGTTCTATATAATGTACACCATCTATTATATACCGCAGAAACTCAGCCATCACATAGGTACAGATGAAACTGCTTCATTTACTGTTTCGTTTATATCACAAAACAATTTTTTTTTAACTTTATAAGTTACGTACGAATTCAAATGTTATATATCAAATATTTGTGTTGGTTATTTGGTACCGAGAACACAATTGTCCATAACTGGCAACAAAGTCTGTGTTTTTTCCATAAACATATTAGCTAGTGGAGCATGTTAGCGATTCCCAATTTGTATCCAATAATACATTTGATATTGGAAGAAGCAATTTTACGAATCAAGATGGCCATTTGAATTTATGAAATTTACTATGGAACGTATTAGATTCACGGAAGTCATAGTTTAGACAAAAATACGTAACCAGGCGTAGCCCATTAACGCCAAAAGATTTTGTATTTCTGGTCACGTGACCAAGCTCGAGTCAACGTCAAAAAATCATTACGGTAGTACGAAAAGTATTTCGTCTGAAGCCTTTATAAAAGTTAGTTGAATCTAGGATATGTCAGTGTGAAATTTAAATCAACATTTTTAAAATCACAATTACAAACGTGCAAAAACAATTCCACAAAAGTAAAAACCGGGTAACACTAATAAACATAAGCAGATGTGATGTCCTTCTCAACGTTTTGCCACCGTTAGAAGTCATTCTGCTGCACTCATTCACACCTCCTGCGGCAGACTTGATCTGGTCAGTCCCACGCATAGGTGCCCCTTCCGAGGGGTCCACCTTCCCGTCTAACAAGGCGTTCTATGGATGTGAGATACTGTTGAGAACAGACGCTGCTTAATACCTCTCCTCCAGCACCACATTTCCAGACCATCTATTTTCTGCCTTTCCACATCTCGCAATGTCCACGCTTCAGCCGGGTATATACTGTCCTTACGAGCCCGGTCTTCGTGGATTTTTTTATATTTCTGTTTCTCCATAATGTTCGCATCTTGTCCCTCGCCATGCAAATATACCCACGTTAAACCCACAGTTCTTAAAGTATGGAAACATCGTGGTATATTGACAC